TTGTGTGTGTGTGTGTGTGTGTGTGTGTGTGTGTGTGTGTGTACAAGATAGATAACTATCTATTAATCTTTGTTAGTTCATCACAAAGAACAGTTTGTTGGATAGTTTATTTTTCATGCCTAAATCTTGTAATCCAAACAACTACTTTAAAGATAATACACAATGTATTAACCAAGATTAATATCCTATTATTTTGTTTTGAAATTCTGTAGCATCATTTCTATTTTTTTCATTTTGTTTTTAAAATTATATGTGTATATATATAATATTAAGATTTTCTATAATCAAGTATATCCAAAATATCACTTCAGAAAATGCAAATCAATATCTTTAAATGATTATGAAGTATCTATAAACTTCCCTTTTATATATTAAGTCTGAAGAATGCGGTGTGTACTTACACTTGAAGCAAGTCTCTATGCAGAGCAGGCAATAGACATAGGCTCCTGGTGGGTGACCCTGTGTTGGACAGCACAGGTCTGGACCTTTTCTTCTCAAAGTTTGTTGGGCACCAGCAGCAGCAGCATCTGGAGTTTGTTAGTACTGAAACATCTCAGCAGTTTCATGAATCAGAATATGCCTTTTAACAAAATCTTCAAGTGATGCATGCATTCAAGTTTGAGGCAATGACAGAAGTTCTTTGGAAGAAAATCTGAGGTGGCAACTCTTTACCAAAGCATCAGCTTGGTTGCTAAAGTGGTAGGGATGGAGTGCAAAATCTCTGTAACTTGTGGTTATTTGCTCAAATAGAAACAACAGTAGCACCACAATTGAGCAGCAAACCATTTCAAATGGAGTTTGAGTTCTTCAAGTGGTTTGAAGAAAAATAACTTATATCAGTATCTGTCCAGTGGGTGAGGTTGCATATTAAATTTACTCTGGACTCACCCTTGGTAAAATAGCTTAAAGTGATGAGGTCCTAAGCCAAGCCCTTTGCCAAGGTAGAATCTCTGGGAATATTTCAAACTGTACCACTATTTGCCCCCAAAATAGTTCCAAGAGGCCTAAAGTCCTCACCATTTGACTCATACGCTTGGCAGAAGTATTATTTCCAGAAAGACCCAGCAACATGCAAAGCCCCTCCCTTGGAAAAGGCATCTGACATAGGTTCACCTCCATCATGGTGAGAATTTGTTTGTGGGAAATGGGGAAGAGGAAAGGAGTAGAAAACCAAAGGTTTTTGTAGAAATAGGAAAAACATTGTACATGAGGCAAAGCGTTGCCACAAACGTGAAGAGGGGGGATAAAACTGGACATTAGTGAAGGATTGAACATAAGCTTCTCCAGCTCCCATGAGCTTAGCTCTAAATCTGACACACAACTGCCATCAACAAATCTGCATAAATGCGTCCATTGCGGAGGATTCCAGGGGAGCAGAGAAGTCTCCACTTTTACTGGTAGTCTTACCAGGGGAATATGTGTATGTAGTCTTAAATGATCATGTTCATGCAAGACATCAGAGCTGGAGGCGAAAACAGAGACAGAACTAGATGTAAAGATCATCTTTTGGAAAGTGACAGGGAGAGCCATAAGAAGACAAGATGTAGATGTGTGAGGCTCCAATTTCTTGGAGGTGGCCAGAATCAAACTCCTATTAGATCTGGAATCAGAAAAAGATGCCACATTGACCCATCACTGTGTACAGGAAGCTCCTTGCTTTTCCAGGCCTGCCCTGATTAGAGGTGAGGACCTCGGAAGGGTGTGTGTGTAAGACTTTCCCTCACTCACATTTGCTACCCACAGCCAGCAGGAGAATCAAACAAACACTGTTTGAGCAGGTGCCCGTTTCCGAATGAAATTGCGTGTGTTATTTTTAATATCTCTTGTCCATCTGCTTTGCTTGTTTCCTCTGGCCCAGATTAGAAGGCTCCGTCGCATTACCTGGACACAGATTTCACCAGGCAGTCACCTTCGCAGAGTGGCAGGATGCGCTTGGCTTCCCTAATACACAAACCCCAGGAAGTATAAATAGAAACGTTGCTTTTATTTGTAGACTTAATGCTGATGGGGAAGCTGGCTCAGAGGCATAAAAGCTTGCCTCTTCCAATTCACTGAACTTTGGGCCCATAATTCTTGCAGTTCAGAAAATTAAATAGAGGTCAGCAATTTATGCCTAAGGTACCGGAGGTAGGGAGAGGGAGCAGAGCTATTAAACCCAGCAAAATGTGCTTATGTGTTTTCAATTTTCTCTTGTTGTTTCTGCCGGGGTCTTCCACAACCAAATTGCTGATGGTTTATGGACTGAAAAACCTTGGAGTGAGAGACAGCCTTTCTTAGAGCACTGCTGCCAGAATATCAAGCCAGTTTCTGAGCTCCCGGCAGCTCTTGCACAGGCCTTGTCTGGGGAAGAATAGCTCCCTGGATAGAAGTGTGCTGTGGGTATCATCAGCCATCAGTCAGGGTCCAGGTGACAGTGTTAGAATGAGCTCCTTCGAATATTAACGAAGTCACTTGATTTAAAATATTAGCATCTTTTTAAAAAGTTGATGTCCTGTTCACATTTCAGAGGGTAACAAAAATCTTGGAATTTAGTGTAAAGAGAAATACTGACATCTAGATCCTCTAATCAAGTCAGATATCAGTGGGTAGTTAATCAGAAACCTTAGTACATCTTGTAAGGAGCCCCCAAAAATGCTAGAAAATATAAACAGCTCAGCTACTCTCTTTTATAAAAGTAGCACAGTGGCCAGTTTGCTTGATAAAATTAATTCAAAATCTAGACTTTGGAAAAACTTGAAACATGCAAATGCCCCTTTAGGAAACATCTTCAGTGTATGTCCCAAGAACCTAGGCTGGTCTTCAATAAATATTGATTGATTCTCTGATGATAACTCCAGGATTAGGGCCATCTTTATACCATGCAGGTAACATTCTAAATATCCTGTTACCCAAACAGAGCCTTTTTTCATATCCTGTCCTTGTTCAGGGTGTCATGTGTCTGGCAGCCCTAGCCTTTGATACAATACATTGAAAATCAATGATGGTGAACCTTGAGCTTACCACAAGAGCAGGCTGGACTCACTTACATCAACATTAGTGCAGAGCTGCTGGAAGCACACAGAATCCAAGTTGGAACTGGCTGCTTTAATGTTACTAAGAACATGTTGGTGTGAATACTCCTGTTTACATCAAAAGATCCCCATAGTTTCTTCTCAGGTAATTCAATACGAATTAGGACATTCAGTTCCAGTTTGGCCCGGGGGCCTCAAGTAGATGGAACTAAAATTTTGGTTGTCTTTTATGAACCTAAGATATTGGCCCTAATGAGATTTTCATGTGGCCACTATGATTCTCCCATTTGGAAGCAAAAAGTAGAAATGTATGAAAGTAGAAAGAGAAAAAAGCAAACTCCCTTAGCCCAGTAATATTTTGGGTTTTCCGTTCTTTATTTCTGTTTACTATATCAATTCAACTCCTGTCTCTGATAGAAATCCACAAAATATAAGTCCCTAGTATAGAATCATGCAATTTTTAATAATTCATTCAATTTAAAATAAAGCAGACCTCCAGAGAATTTAAATAACTTTTCCAAGACATGAAGTTATTTGCTGAAAGACCTGTTTCTTTAACTCAGGCTCTTCTATCACACAATTTAAGGGAGGAAGAAGACCATTCAACAGGTTTATTTTTCAAAGAGAAGAATATGTTTTTATTAATTTTCAGACTATAGACTGCTTTATGGTCAACAAGACTTTAGAGGGAGTAGGGTTGTACAACAATTACAAAATGTTCTTCAGGGATGCTACAGGTTGATTTTTCCTATGATGTTGTTGTCATCTTTCTTTCTTTCTTTCTTTCTTTTTTCTCTCTCTCTCTTTTTGTGGTTCATTTGTGTTTCTTTTTGTCTTGGGTTCTGGGGATCAAACCCAAGACCTGAGTGCATAGTAAGCATGTCCTAGCCCAACCACTGAGCTGTTCCTCCAGCTTCCTCTAGGTTTTTTAAGTACTGATGCCTTGTTTTCAGTCTAAGTAAAATAAAGAAGGATCTCCAGAGGGTGAGATACCAATTCCTGTAGTTCTTTTCTTTTTCATTGATTCATTTGCTTTTTCAGCTGACATGGCTCTTGCTGTATTCCTCACAGGCCTTGCCTTGTTACATGAATTACTATGGTTTTCTACAGATTTTTTTTTAAATGTACACAGCTCTTAAGCTTTACAGTTTTTATAGTTTCTGACATGAGGAAGAATTCAAGGCTTGAGGGAAGAGTAGAGCTTTAATTTTCTTACTTGAAATTCTGATGGACAGTCCTGGCCATCCTGAATCACTGACAGTATCCTGTATCCCAGGACGGGAAGTAGCAGCCAGGACCCAAGGTGTCCTGATCTAAGCTCTAATTCACCACCATCCTCTTAATAAAGGCAAACTTTTGGGGCTTTGTCTTATTTTGTGGCCCACTTACAAAAGAAAAAATGTTCTAATTACAGAATTTAATTTCCAGAATTTGTATGAAGTAATGTTGAGGTGCTTAGCCAGGTCCAAAGCATCAAGCCTTAGAATCACTCCAGTCTATTGATTTCTCCCAAAATCCAAAAAAGGAATTAGAGAAAAGACATCCTAAAGAAATATAGCACAGATGACAAAAATCAGGAGACAAATGCGAACAAAACAAAATAAAAAACCCTTAGCCTCCAGATACAGTGACAACATGGAGATAAATACGCTGATGAATAAAGAGAAAAGAAAAAAAGAAGAAAGGCAAAGAAAAGAAAAGGGCAAGCAGTCATCCTGAAGGGTTTTGTTGTTTTGCTTTGTTTTTCTTTAAATATCTGGTGAGGGGTCTCCATGCTGGCAAAGGGTCTACAGTACTGAGAATTAGCCACAAAATTACTTTTTCTCCAGGTGTTTGGTTTGGTTTGGAGAAGTCTACATCAGGGACATTTGGAAGAGGCCTGTGTGGTGAGGGAGGCAGAACTGGCCTCTCACTGAGTGCTTGTTCACACAGCCACTGTCTTGGACTCAGAGTCACTGTCCTTCCCTTCTCTCCCCATCTCCTCCCCAGTCTCATCTCCAGACAGAAGAAAAGGCCATGTAAGTTTACGTAATGGATATTCCCACTTAAAAATGTGGACCTCTGTGAAGTCAGCAGCCAAGAGATCCGATCCAGAGCATTTTCTGAGTGTCTGCCTCCATCAGTTAAAGGTAGGCTGGAAAGAAAGTCTCCAAGTGGGCTTTCAAACCACAGGGAGGTGTGTCCTAACATTTGGCGTAAGGTCAGAGAGATCAGTGTCAGACTCCTGAGATTTTCAGGGACACATAGAATGAAAGTTCTGATTTTCTTCAAATGCTCCCTACCAAATTAGCCTTGTTCCAATTCCAAGTCATATCCTAACAAAAAGTGAAAGATGTGCCCCATCCTCTCCACAGCATTTCACAAATATTTACAGAGCCTACTGTGTGTACATTGTTGTCTTGGAGGTTATAAAATAAAATGCATGGCCTGTTCCCTGCCCACAAAGGAACTAGAACTCAGTAAACAGAACCAAGTTACTGTGGCATAACAGAATGCAGAGTACACTTAACTGTAGGAAATCAGAAGAAAGAGTCAAGAAAGCCTTTGTGGGAATTTTAAAGATGGCGGGATAAGGAAGGTTAAAGGAAAGGGCACTCCAAGGTAAAAGCCAAGGAGCGGGAGATACAGGGGTAGAAAGCATGAAGTCGCTTTGCTTGCCCTCCTGGAAGATGTCACGGGCTGTAAGCCTGAAAAGATAGGTTAGGGCTAAATCCAGAAGATTCTCAAATGTCAGTCTGAGAAATGTGGACTTGGAGTCAGGAAATTGATGCTAGGTAAATCAAATCAATCAGATAAACTACAGAAAAAGCTGTGAAGAACAGTACATTCAGCAGTCCATTTGACTGGACAAATTATTTTCTACTTCATTCAGTTTGAGGCCAGTGAGCCTCCTAAAGGAGAGAAAAATGTTTAAGGCATTATGTTCAAATGGTAGCTCTACCATTATTTAGATAAGGGCTTTTGAATTAGTCTTTTGTAGCAGGAGTTGGCTCACCTCCTTAGGTAAAAGAAATGTTGCACTGTCTCCTCTTCGAAGTAAGATTAAATCTAGTTCTTGATCTTCATCAGAAAGCAAGAAATGTATTCCATATCACATTGGGAGGTGGGAAAAGATCAGGAATATCTGGCTTGTACTGTCTAGAAAATACGGGAAGGGCCTCTGTTCTTCAGTTCATCTTAGACAATCTGAGTACTTAATGTTTGAGCTCTCGTGAAAGTGAAGGACTCCATGTTCCCCATGCCAAGATTCACATAATGATCTTTCACTGTAGCGCTTCAGATATGGCAGTAGAGAGTGGCCAAACTATAGAGGTTTCTGAGATATGGAACTTTGGGTTTTAAAAATAAGTAAGTCAATGGCAAAACTGGATCAGTGACGGCACTCAATGTCCAAGAAATAGTATCCTCATTCATACCATCAGAGGCCCTAATCCCATCCAGATATCTGTCAGGGGCCTGGGAGGAGCCGTCAGCCCTCAGTGGTTTTAAACTACCCTACCATCTATCTCTCAAAGCCAGTTCCATCTCTAAGTCAAAACACAGTCCCAGGTGAGGATCTCTTCTGAATGCTGTCAACTTTCTTTCTTTTCTTTTTCCTCTTTTTTTACCTTTCTGTAGAACAAAAGACAGGAAACAACTGTAGGAGAAAGGTAATTCAGAAATCTGAATATACATGTTTTACAATTGTATCTGTAGGGGAGATGAAGAGTGTGCAGGCAAAAACAAAGAGAAAAGTTACCCTTAAACTCCTCTGAGAGATTAAGCAAACAATGTACAGTGAAAACAGGCCCTGTAGTAGACCCCGTGCTAGATATTTGGCATGCAATGGGGAAAAGCCAGACCTTCATTTCATTTCATCATTATCCTGAAACAAGAAAGAAATAGAAACCAAAAAAAAAAAAAATGTCAAAACTTACTCAGCTGTTTCCAATCCAGATGAGCCTCAGTTTCCTCATCTCTGAAGTTAAAATAACACATGCCTCACAGAGGTGTCACAGTGTCACACAGGACAATGCATGTAAGTATTCCCTTTAGAGGCTTCTCTACAGTTCACTGTTTCACATGGCCATGGTGGCTTTCTGAACTTGCTATTCAAAGCTACAAATTGTTCCTCTTTGATACTTATTTCAATTTCTGCTAAACTCTACCTACATTTGAAAAGTCTTAGATTTAAAAATTTTAGTAAGCAGCATTGCTAGTTTCTTTCACAAATGTCATCTCAAATTATTCCCATTCTGGTAGGAGCAATAATTAGTTTAGTGGCAAATGCAAAGTTGTGAGTTTGGTATCTGATACAAAAAAAACAAAAATAGTGTAGGTCACACAGTCAGGTAGAGAGTAAGAGGTAAATCCATTTCTTCCAACTCATGAACTTGTACCTAACTGCAAGGGATGCTGGGAAATGTCACATAGCTACATGCCCATGAGAACACTGTCCTGGGGTATAGTAAGTGCATAAAATCTCTGCCAGAATGGGCAATGGCCCTGTATTAAAATGACAATAATCTCCTGGGGTTTATCAGTTCTTGGCTGATAACTCACAAAATATAGACACTAGAGACTGATTTTTTTGAGGGTTGTTGAAAGAATTAGGAATGCATGGTACATAGCACCAGACATATTGTAACCTCCCCCCCCCACACACACACACACAACCATCTGTCACTAAGGAGAGGTAGCAAGGTGAGGCGAGACAGTCATGGCCTCAAGTTTCCCTCATGACCCATATGTTGCTGAGCAAGTTTCATAACTTCTTTGTGCGTGGAGCTTCATCTCCAAGTATGGATATTCATAGCCTACCTCTGCTGATAAGAATAACAGGAAAGCTTACGTGAAGCCAAAACTGACTCACAACCACCAAACAGAGTTACCTACATTCAGTCAAAAAAGAGACAGCACACACATGAAACACGCTGGTAGTGGAATACGATAGCAGAGCCGGGTAAAGGCTGACTTTCTGAGAGGCCAGTACTTCTTTCCCAAAATTGCCTACAAGTTCCATTTCTAGGAAATCGCCAGTAATTGAAGTTTTTGAAATTTATCCTATTTTAAATATTAAAACAGGGGTTATCAAAACTGGCTGTCTATCAGAATCATCTGAGAAGATTTTCAAAATTATGGAGTAAGGAAGGCCCTTTGTTTATATTCTGAAGATAATTCTAAAGTAGTGAAACAGACATGTTCCATTAATGCCATTAGGAATCATTACTCTAAGGTATTAAAAGAAATTGGGAATGCATTTTTGACATTGCCATTTATCTACTTTATAATCAGTTAAGTAAAGCAGAACACTGCCTTACTGTATTGTACTTTTCAGAGTATTCCACTTCACAAGCCAATGCACCACAATATGGTCATAGACACGTTAACACTTGATGGGTAAATGTTAGAAATAAAGATATGGGGCCAGTCAGAAACCAAAAGATTACTACTCAATTTTATGATTGATCCACTCAACCACTTAATCAATAGACTGTTGTTGAACCCTTTGTGGGGATCTATGCTGCGTGGTAAGGATATAAAGGTGAATGAGAACTAGCTCCTGTTAAAGTTATTCCTGTTTTTCAAGACAAAAGCCACAGCCTCAGATGATAGGACCTGTCACAATGCTCCTGAATATTTTAGATTCAAACATTTTATTAGGAACCAATCAGCTCCATTAGAAGGCACTAGGCTTCTAGCCTCTTGATCACACTTCATTCACCTGGAGGTAACTTGTTTGCCTACATGGCAAATAGTCACATTATACATTACAAAGATGATAAAAGTTGTATGAAAGGTTACTTTCTCCATGAAGCCTTCCCTAACTGCCAGAGTCACATAGACCAGCTTCCTAATATACATATTTCATTTATTTGAGTCATTAACCTATTCTTGTATGCTTATTTTGACATCTCCTCCTCCCTTGTAGTACTGACTTGTTGAATTTTTTTCAAGAAAATAACCCTTCAAGTATGCCAGTTACATAGCTCTGTTTCTCATGGGCCAAGTGTCAGTTGGTGGGAGTGATCATGTCAACCTGGTACCAACACACTTAACCACTGTCACCAGGTGTCAGCACTCCACATTATGCATTCTGCACACCAGAGAAGGTGCTGTCATCACTGCTACCTTGAAGTGAGTGCATTCTCCAGGAGTGAGGTCTATGTTGCCACAGCATCCAACTCTGCCATTTGCCTAGAATTTATAGACCACAGTTTGGACCCATAATACTTAAGAAATTGTCTACAAATGACAGTGCTAGAAAAACACACAGAGAGGACCACATAGATGTTGAATGAGGTCTACTTGAGAATTCTTCAAGGAAATGGCCATGAATGACAAAACAGACAGTGGAAGTCAGTAGGCAAGAGGAATTGGATGGGGGTCCTTTGCTGTGGGAAGGAGCCAAAATTACTACCTGAGAGGACAGCAGACAACTGTATAAATAAAGGAACACTGCAGAATATGGCTTCTGAGAATTTCGAGGGGAGAAAGGAGCCATTTGCCAATGTACCAAAGTGGAAACGATGCCACAAACAATGCCCTAAGTAAACATTCTAGCTCTGATGCAGTTAATACTCGTTCTTTCCAGGAGGTGCTTGGCCTTGCCAAGTGATAGGTATGATTAATTCATTTCTTCCACTGAACTGTAAGCTCTTTTAACAAGAGATTCCATCTCATAGATATTTAACTTCCTTGGGTTTTACTACATAGGTATACTGTGAAATGGATGAATGAATTTCTAAATGAAACAGACCATTCCACATCTCTCACCTGTGAGACAAACGAAAACTCTCAGAAGTTCTGAGTGCAGGATCATTTCCATCAGAAATCTCCTGACTGTCAGGACCAGTAGAGCTGAACTGGTGGTGAATTATGCTTGAGCTGAAGGGAGACTCAAGCTTGTCACAGTCTTACTTTCAGTGATGGGATACAATACAGTGATCTATGGGATCTCACATGTATTCCATTTTCAGTATGATAAATAAGAATTAGGGGTAATGTAGTTTCCTCCATTCAAGGGATCTTTCTATGCATACTAGAGAAGAGATGTCCATGGAGCTCAGAAGTTGGGGTTGGGGTAGTGAGAACAGGCTGACACCAGTTAAGACCAGCAACAGTTATTCTTGACTTAAAAAAAAAATAC